GGCATTATTTCTGTTCCAACATGCCGCAGTGGTTGATTTCTTGCGGCTTGAGAGAGTGTGAAGTCTGGAAGGCAGCTTTGGGAGGAGATGAACCCCAATTGTCAGTCCAAAAGGATATGGACTCACCATTGCCAATGATACACACAGTGTTGTCAAGGATCAAATCTTCTTGCTGTTGAATATATTTCCTTGGCCTCTTGAATGTTTGAGCTTGGATTGACTAGAGTGGTTGTTAGTCTCATCCCTCTTGTATACAAAATCATTATCAGAGTTCTCTTCAAAAACTGGAAACAGTCCTTCCATATGTTTAAGCTCCATTTTCAGAAGAGAGAGAGAGAGCAAGAGAGAGAATTGGGAGACCGTAGATTAACTATCTTAGACCCCTTAAATTGGCCTCAAAACCTGCTGTTAGATGTTATGTGTTGGTGCTTCCCTGCCTACTGCTTTTTGTTATGCTCTTCTTAGTCAATGTTTCAGTCAAAAAAGCATTTCAAGACTTCAATGTGCTAAGTTAAGTGATACCTTCATCTTGTTCATTATTAATTTCTACCACTTCTATTTAGATATTCATCTGTGAGTTTAATTCTCAATTATTACCTCTGCCTTTCTTGGCTATGACAATACTCATGTATTCTGCTTATAATCTTATCTAGATCTTTATAGTATTCTAGAGAATGCTAAATATTCTGGAAAGTCCTGAAATTTTTTACGTACATGTTTTGTCAGAACTTGTAACTTCTGGAAAGTCCTAAATGTATACTTCTTCCATTCAGCATCATTATTGTGCTCTCATGCAGGCTATGTATGTGATGCTTCGTCTTTTGATCCACTATCTCGTTGCTGCCTAGGGAAAGGGGAAAAATTTCCTTGTCAGTGAGTTTTTTTCCAGATAAATCTTTGATGGCTCATGATGAGTGTAAGAGCTCGAGCTCTGTCGAGCATAGTATTTATTTTTCTGCTTACAATTTGCAGTGGGTGCAATCTTGTTTCACAATGTTGCAATTCCTACGAATATTGTGTTTCATGCTGCCAGGATCCTTCAAGGGTATGATGGGTTTCTTCTTGATTCTTATAATGCCTCATTCTGTTTTTATTTAGTCTTCTTTTTCCTTATGAATTTGAGCTGGAATCTAAATATTGGCGCCTTTCTGGATGCTGCTTGCAGACAAAAAGGGAGCAAATACTAAAAATAAAAATTGCTAAGCCTTCCACTGCAGGTAATGATGTACTTATAGAAAAATTAATTTTGTTTAAAACATTTTTTTTTTCACAAGTTATTCCAAAGACATTAATTAAATATTTCAAACTACGCTAAATCTTGCAGGGACATATGCCGGTGTGTTTGATTTCTGTGTTGGGAGGTGTCGTCATAATTCGGAGAGTGTTGTAAGTGTCCTGCATTGATATTTTCTTCTAAATGTTTAAAATAAAATTCGGGGTGTCGTCATAATCTGACATCATATCTTTTCTTTTAACAGTCAAGTTATTTGATAGAATTTACAATTTTCAGGTGCACGAAAATGCTTATCGCAGCGATTACCATCATTGCTTTTCTCTGCCGTCATATTCTTCAGGTTAGCTGATAAAGCTGAATTAGATAGGAGTTCCTTCTTTGGCGGTTGTAAATTGCAGTGGAAAGTTCAGCTACTTTAGTAAATGAATTCAAACCATGTAAGGATTATGATTTTTAAAATAATTGCACAGAGGTTAAGTTCCATGTGTAACCTTTTTTTAAAAAACCATTTTCAGGCGCGTTTCATATTTTAGCAGTCCCTGATTTTCTACATTTTCCATTTGTTGCCATCATTTCCATATTTGTGCTGATCTTCCATTTTCAGGTGTCTTTCTCACTTTTTCTTTTAGATTCAGTGTAATTCATGTAATAGCCTTCTTGGAAACCTCTCCCTAGTATACACGTTTTAAAAACCTTGAGAGGAAGTCCAAAAGGAAAAACCCAAATAGGATAATATCTGCTAGCGGTGGGCTTAGGCCGTTACAAATGGTATCAGAGCTAGACACCAGGCGATATGCTAGCGAGAAGGCTGAGTCCCGAAGGGGGTGGACACAAGGCGGTATGCCAACAAGGATGTTGGGCGTTACAAGGGGGTGGATTGGGGGATCCCACATCGATTGGAGGAGGGAACAAATGCCAGCGAGGATGTTGGGCCCGAAGGGGGTGGATTGTGAGATCCCATATTAGTTGGGGATGAGAACGAAACATTCATTATAAGGGTGTGAAAACCTTTTTCTAGTAGACGCATTTTAAAAACCTTTAGGGGAAGCCCGAAAGGGAAAACCCAAAAAGGACAATATCTGCTAGCGGTGGGCTTCGGCCATCACACAAAATTTGTACCTAGGTTGTCTTCACCTATTTTGTAAGCAAACAAATATTTTGTTAAATTAGTTATATAAATTCAGGTCGGTGCGGTTCAACATAAACTAATGAATGAATCCAACCAACCCAAACAAATTTGTAACCCAAACCCACCCATGAACCACAGCCAAATGACGCCTCAGAGAACTTGGAACTCCATTTTCTTCCGTCCTTCTGTCATGCTTGTGATTTGTTTTCAAAATCAGGATTGTATTTTTTACAAGGTTTTCTAAGCATGTCGTTTTCATGTTTTTTTTTTTCTTTTCTAATTTCTTATCTAAAACATTTATTATACTTATTGGTCTTTGTAGGAGTCAACGGCACGGAACTAGAATTCAAACTCAACGGTGTCAACGTCATTATTGGAAGGTATCGTTCAGGGTAGTTATCTATAGGTCTGCATCCTTTTACATTGTTTGCCATCTTTCTTATACTCTTCTTAACTGAATGTATGATAGACAAGGAGAGTCATGTGATTCAGTTTGCAAGACAAATGGACAATCATGCATCCCAAACAAGATTATGGTCCTAAATCACTGTGACATGTGAGTAAGCTTCTGTTTTCTTTTCCATTTCTTATGAAGCCATTAGAATTTTTCTTGATTTAAGTGTTTCTGAATAAAAAAAAGTGGATGTAGTTACTGTGAGATCCCACATCGGTTGGGGAGGTGAACGAAGCATTCTTTATAAGGGTGTGGAAACCTCTCCTTAGCGGACGCATTTTAAAAACCTTGAGGAGAAGTCTAAAAGGGAAAGCCCAAAGAGAATAATATCCGTTAGCAGTGGGCTTGGGCAGTTACAATTAATCTGTGTACGGTCGATGACTTATGAATTATGAATTGTGTACTTTCTTATATTCATCTTCATGTTGTTTTCTTTATTTTGGGATAGTATGCAAAAATACTTGAGCTGCAAAGGAGGTTGCTTATCAAGTGTTGGGCCTGATCAACCTGCTGAAGTTGCTTATAATTCTCCTAAAGAACTGGTATGTTGTCCTCTTCTTTTTGTATTGATAGTTAGACGTGATTCTCAGTATTATTTGTTGGCATAATGGAATTGGATGATTATGGTTCGAATAATCAATAAGAACGAAAGGCATGGGAAGAATGAAAATGTCATACTGTTACACTGATATTTTGGGATTTAAACACCAAATTACTTGATGTTCAAATAGATTGAAAGGTTAATGGTACCCAACCAAACTTAGTTCATGATCATGTTCACCCAGTTCAAATAGATTGTGTTCTTCCTTTATTGATATTAAAACTGAACTTTCCCCAGATATCTAAGTTTTACTGAGAGTTTCTTTTGAATGTATTATAAAGGAAATGATGCATGAAAGCAGCTGTGTTTTTTTATGCTATAGAGTTCTTATATTTAGTGTATACAAATACCAGAATCCAGGAGCATGCTTATACAGCAGCGCACAGCCAATGCTCTCTTGCGATGGCTCACACCCGCATACCAGAAGGCTTTGTCCTTGCGCCTAGCACATCTTCTAGATATGTTCTTAGTTCAAATCAAAATCAAAGATGGGTCTGAAAGTTCGAAGAATTATGCATCCTCTGACAGTTTACTTTATGGAATTCCATCGTTTCATGCAGCAGATAGAAGGAAGTATGTTTTCAGCTTAACAGTTTACTTTATTTGTTTATGTACAAATCTTCAGTTATTTTCTGGAGAATAATGGTAACTACAAAGTGTTCTTGTAAGATTAATGTAACAGGTTGAAGGAGATCGAAAAACGGCGAATTGTAGAACTAGTCAAGACATTTTTCTGTTCAAGAAATAGTTTTTGTTCTTACTCATCCAAGAGTGGATCTCGTATTCTTTTTCATTTTTAAGCTTAATTCAATGGATAAAACACCAATTAAGTAACTCTAAATGAAAGCTTGTTTATACCGACCAAACAGAAATCTTTAGCCTGCTTTGGTCATTTGGGTTGAGGCTCAAGGCCTTCATTCCGGTCCTTCATTCAATGGGTTGGAATAATAGGTATCTCAAGCTTTGTTCTCCACGGTCACTCTTGGTGCTTATGCACTCTACTCACCACTAAACGACAAAGCCTTTAGTGGAATGAGGAACTTGAATAATTTAACTACTGATTAATTAATTTTAAAGTTCAAAACTTAGTAATCACAATTAAAAGAGAGCTAATAGATTTGTAACGGCCTAGATCCACTGCTTTTTAAAGTCTCGAGGGGAAGTCCGAAAGGGAAAGTCTAAAGAAGACAATATCTGTTAGCAGTGGATCTGAGTTGTTACAAATGGTATTAAAGCCAGACACCGAACAATGTGTCAGTCTTCTTGCCCACATCGATTGGAGGAAGGAATGAGTGCCAACGAGGACGTTGGGCCCCGAAGGAGGGTGGATTGTGATGTCTCACATTGGTTGGGAAGGAGAACAAACAACAAACCATTACTAAGATTATATGCAACGGCTCAAACTCATTACTAACCGATATTGTCTTTTTTGGGTTTTTCCTTCAAAATTTTAAAATGTGTCTATTAATGAAAGATTTTTATACTAAAAATATTTCGTTCCACTCGTTAACCATGTGGAATCTCACATTATAATTTGACACTTAGTTCAAGTTAGAGAAGAAATGAGTGAGGCAGCTAAATATAAGGATGTTCAAAGAAATGGGTATTCACAAACTGGAACATACAACAGCAAAAAAGTAAGTTGTTAGAGAAAATAAAACTCAAAAAGCTTTGGAATTTTGATTGTTTTTTTGTTTTGAAGAGTCTGTCAACTTTAGAAATTGTGCTCCAAAAACAGCTTTTCCTGAGGGGAAGCAGGCCCAATCTCTTCCTCTAAACTCTTCAATCCATCCCCAACACCTCCACAATTCCCTACATTTCTTCCTTCCAAATTCTTTCCATCAACATCTGCTTCTGACACTGAGGATTTCCTCCTCTGGGACGACGTCACGCTCGGGAAGGTAATCCACGATGGAGCTCTAAACTCGAACCTTTGATCCTCAGCTTCTGCTATATCCGTTTCAGACACTGAACGGTTCGATGATCTTTGAGATGACTTTTTGTGTAGTCTGCTGCTTCCCAAAACCACCTCAGTTGGTAAGATCGGTTGTTCGTTACACGGACTTCCCATCAGTTGGGCAAGAGCACGCTCTAATGCAGTTGTCACTTTGTCCATTGATGGCCTCTCCTTAGCTCTCATTCTCACACATTTGCAAGCTACATTTGCAATCCTCTTCAAGGCTTCGATATCGGAGGGCGGTTTTAATATCGGATCTAAAATTGCAGATATATCTCCAGATCTTATCAAAGGCACTGCCCATTCTACTATGTTACCTTCTTCATATTGCATATCAATGGCTTTTCGACCACTGAGAATTTCTAGTAGCAAAACACCGAAGCTATACACATCGGACTTTGTGGTAAGGTAATGAAGTCTATAGTATTCGGGATCGAGATAGCCAAGTGTCCCAGCTGGTAGCTCGGCTAATGGAGAGCTACTATCTGTTGGTCCCAACAATGACAAGCCAAAATCAGCGACTCGAGCATTGTGCTCTTCGTCGATGAGAATGTTTGACGACTTAATGTCTCGATGAATGACGGGAGGACAAGCATAGCCATGCAAGTATTCGATTCCCCTGGCTGCTTGAACTGCAATTGTAACTCTTCTTATCCAATCTAATTGCTCTTTTAAGGTCTCGTTCTTGCCATGGAGGTGCTGGTACAAGGAGCCATGAGCCATGAACTCATAAACCAGAAGCCTCTCTCCACCTTCTTCACAATAACCAAGCAAATTAAGCAAATGGGCATGGTTTAATCTTGATAACAAGTCAAGTTCAGTGTGGAACTCTTTTGAATTCTTCTGCATATTAGGAGACATTATAGCTCGTTTGACTGCTACGACTGTCCCGTCCTTCAAAACACCTCGAAAAACACAAGAGAAACTCCCCTTTCCTACGATAGACTCTTCCTTAAACCCACACGTTGCTCTCTCGAGTTCTTCATAGGTGAACATCTGAGCCCGCCTTATCTTAAGCTCATCTAAGTCGGGACGTATTTTATAGCTTTCCTTCTGGAAGGCAGAGGCTGTCACTTTGTTCTTCTTCGACTTCAACTCCTTTCCTGAGCAATGGCAATTCCGTAGCTTGTATCGAACGTAAAAGATCGCAGTTATTGACACAATAGCTATCAAAAACACAGCAAAAGCAATCTCAGCTACAAGAACTGGCAGCTGCATAGACCAGAGCTTACCATTTTTCTTCACCAACAAACCATTTGATATCATAGATGAACAGTTTGATATGCATTCACCAGAAAAGCAACTTGAACAATTATACTCACACTGCCTATCAGATTTTAAGGAACACTCAAATTTTTGGTACATCCCAGGAGGGCAAGCAGTACTGCAGGGCATGCAAACATGAAAACTTGGCGACTTACACCGAGCTTTGTCTTGGCTTATTTCGTAGAAACCCGGAGAACAAGGAGTTGCTTTACAGATTCCAGGAGAGACAGCTAAAGGTAGAGAAGTAGGAAATCCAAGCCCCCAGCAGACAGGCAGGAGAGATTTTTCAGCTAGAATTCCACAGGTGAAGTAATCGCCAGCTGCAATGTCGTAAACTTTAATCCCATCCGGTGCCGGAGTACTCGGTTTGACTGTAAAGCCCCAACAAATCACACCACGGTCCGAGCTTTTGATCCCACAGGCATGGAACTTGCCCCCCACAACAGAAGCTAATGGATCAACAGGAACCAAGTCTACATTTCCTTCACCCGAATATGCTACCGAAATCTCCTCTTCAATGTCTAAGCTCCTTCCCCAACAGAACGCTCTCGACCGCATGCCCTCTAGAATCCCGCAAACATGATATCCACCAGAGGCAATCTTTTGAAACCTCATATCTTTAGGTATCAAACTGATCACCCGGCTGCTTGTCTCATCACCCCAACAGAAAACAGTTCTATTAAGAGAAAACAGTCCACAATTGAACTCAGACCCCGCCGAGATCGACTCAATAGGGCCATCAAACTCAAAGGTTCTAGTCATGTTATATCCCCAACAATCCACAAAAGACATGTTCCTACGCCTTCCAGTCAAAGGCATTCGAAGTCCACAGAGATGATAATCACCAGCACTGATTTCTTGATATTGAGCTCCTTTGCTCATAGGCTGAGGAACACCCATTTGAACATAGCCACTACTTCCCCAACAATAAGGTTGGTTTGAATCCAAAAGAAGCCCACAAACAAACCCATCACCAGCAGTAAGACCAATGAATGGGAAATGAGAAGGGGTTCCATAAGTTATGGCTGAATTTGAACCAAAACAGCTCACAAGACTAGACCCATCTGACTTTAAACCACAGAAAACAGGCCCTTTCTCGCCATAAGACACAGCAACAGGAGACATTGAACCTAAACCAGACACTAAAAAACACATATCTGCAAAAACAACCAGTTCTACAAACAATCCACCTCTCCAGCCAAACATCTTGTTCAAGAACAAAAGAATCAATCACTCAAAGAATGAAGAACAATCTCCAGTTCAAATGTTCCATGAACAAACAGAAAAACATTACAATTTAAGAAAACAAGAAGCAAGCAATGTAAAATCCACTCCCATTCTGTTCCCAATCCCAATACATTCATAAAGCAAATATTCCTCAGATTCAACCAGATTCAGATAAGGCAAAAACGAAGCAACAAAATTACCCATTAAACCTCCATGGCTGCTTCCACGAAATCGCGTTCCGATCTAGAAAAAAGAAGAGAATCATGAGAATTGCTGTAGGGAAAAAGGAAGAACAGAGCAAGAAAAGAAGAAGGGAAAAGGTTGCGATGAAATGAGAAAGAAAAGAAACTTAAATGCCGAAACTACAACTTCTGACATTGGGAAAAGCGTAGGTGAAGACATTAAATGAGAAGTTAATGCGATTTTGATCTTTTCATGCCTGGATTACTGCACTCCACCACTCAATCCCCCAAAAACACTGCTACTTTTGCCCCTTTTTTCCCTTTTTCTTTAAACGATTTCGATCAATCTTTGACCTCACCAACGAATAATCGAAGCGGCATTGTCTTCTTGTCCGCCGATTCAAATTTCTTCAAAAACTGGAATGGCCGTCTTCTGGTTTCGAAGCTATCCGTCACTGCATATCACAGAAACGGGAGAATTAATGGAACAAACAAGGCGCTACTCTGCCTTTCTCTCGATCGAATTTAATTCTTGTACTTTTTGTCCAAATCAAAAACGGCAGTTGGGATTATCAGAAAAAAGCATTTTCCACCATTTTTGTTTATGTGTCTGTGGTTTTTCGCTGCTGAGTTCTTAATTTCATCATTTCAGTTTCTTTTATCCGTTGCTTCATTTGTGCCGTTACAATTTTTCTATTCCAATAAAATATCCTTAATTTTCTTCTTAATTTTTTTTTTCAAATATTTTATTATACTCCAACTAGGTTTGACTTCATCCGTCATCATACTTCAACCAGTCAAAACATTATTGGCAACGAGCGATATCGTGGGTGTATCAACCTATGCCCATTGTTAGCAAATAATGTTCGTTTTAGCACGTTACATGTCGTACTCAGCCTCACAATTTTAAAATGTGCTAGAGAGAAGTTTTCACCCCCTTATCAGCAATCTTTCATTCCCGTCTCCAATCGATTGGGATCTCACAATGGGTATCGAGAATTCGATCGTGCAATTGTAAAACTCCAAGAAAAAAAAAAAAAAAAGGGTTATAATCTACGCGCTCACATTTTTTAGTACAAAAAATGCGTGAATTTGAACCTCCGACCTCAAACGAATGAGCAGTTTTACAGTTGGACTATGTTTATGTTGACATTTATACATTTTGAAACTACTTCCGTTCATTTAAGTTGTCCACTACTTTCAAAACTGTTTATTCATATAGTTCTTTTATTTAAAAAACGCACGTTTTGGTTCTTATAATTCCAATGTGAAAAATTAATTCTAATACATTTTATAAACGTTTCAAATTAAAAAAAAAAATTAAAAACTAAAATGTTCGTCTTTAAGAGTACAAGAATCAAAATAAATATATAAAATAAGAAAAAAAGAATCTTAATGGAATTTAAATGAAAAAGATATTTTTAAAAGTCATTAGAAAATTTTATTTTTTTCATGTTTAAAAAAATAAAATAAAAATTTGAGATTAAATTAAGATTTTAATTTTGATGACCACAATTAAAATTATTTTTTTCTTCTTTTAAATTTAAAACATTTAAATGGTATATTAAAAATAATTGTATTATTTCTATTATTTAAAAAAAAAAGTTTCTTACTTTATTTTTATTTATTTATTTATTTATTTATATTTTTTCAAGACCATTTAATTCTAAATGCATTATGATTTGAACCAAGAAGTAAAGTTGGTCAAAAAGTGAGTCAAAAAGTTTGGGTGCAAATTTTGATTTATGTTTGAAATCTTTTAACCTAATTTATTTCTATTTTTAATTTTGTTGCATAATTTTTCGATAAACTGTCACCTCTGATCTATATTTTGATCTATGAAGCGTCGGTGAGGTGTTCGTAATTATATTTTGATCTTTGATTCTCAGACATTACTGCATAATCTACGTTTTTATCCATGAAGCATCGGTTCGGTACTCGTAACTACGTTTTATATGATTACTCAATCTTAAAGCAAAACCCGTGATATAGAACTGTTATTTTGTATAAAGACTAACTTTTTATTTATTCACAATAACTATTATTATTATTTTTGTAAATCTTCTTTTTATGGAACTCTTTTTCAAAAGAAGTTAAATTTTAAAGAAAGAAATTGAATAAACGTAAATTAAATTTGAAGTAAATTTCTACTTATTTTCTCGATGTCAATGATGATGTCGAGATCAGACAATTTTAAGGTTTAGGGTTTAGGGTTTTATTAATTTAATGAATTAAAATATTTCAACATTTTCACGAAAATTTAATACCCTGATCATAACATTATAACTTGAATATTTATTTACTTAGACTAATGAGCGATAATTTTCTCGTCAAATTTGGCTCGATTTATTTAGTAGACCCTATTTTCTTATGCTACATTGTGTCGAAATCATGATCATTAATTACGAGTATAATTGATGTAGCTATAAACGTTTAAACAACGGTGCTAACCTCGTAAATTTATTCAAACTAAAATTAAAATTTTAATTTCTCATATGATGCTATAAAAAAAATTATTATATGATAATTACATCTGCTAGGACATGACCACGTTATCTACTTGTCTTGAAATGTTTCATATTCATCATCTTATTGGGATCTCGTTTAGATCCATTTAAAATCATTTCATAAAATTAATATTGTTTTGTTTGTTACATTTAAAAATATTTTATAAATATGTTAACGGTAACGCATCATGTCTAAAATTCATGTTATGCAGTCGTTTGAACACCCTCTAAGCATAGCTCAACAGTAATTAACGCGTACTTCTTTTCTTATAATCAAAGGTTCAAATTCTTATGATCTACTCGTTATACCAAAACAAGAGTGATTCAAACGGGTCAGACTTATTTTGTTTATAAGTTTGTGAGAAAGGTTGAAAATGGATTTCTAATGTCCCAATTTGTGGAGACCAATTCTAATTTAGGACTATTAAAATATTAAATCAAATTTTAGTATTTTTTTTTTTAATTTAGATATAATAATAACAATAATATATATATTATTTAATGAGTTCTTTAGTATGTTTTAAGTGCAATTGCCTTTGTGCCTATTTTTAATTATTTATTTCAACATTGACTTTTGGTAAGACATTTATGATATCTATATTTTTATATTAACTCTATTTTGTAAACTCTACTTGATTTAATAATAATTTTTTTTTTTTTTTGCTCGAGTTCAACAATTATGTTCGTGGGTGTTCATGGGTTGGGTTGAGTTGGGTTTGAGCATTTTTTTAGGCTCAATCTAATTATTGGTAAATTTAACATTTTTTAAATCCAACCTTATTTTTAATTTAAAATGAGATAAAAACAGGTATATATATACTTATATACTTCAGTCAACTCAAATAAATTCATAACCCGACCTAGAGAGTATTGATTAGGTTGAGATGATTGAGTTTTTACGTCATTGAATTTTTTTAACGCTCATAAATTTTTTACGTTCACATCGGTTGGTGACAAAAATGTCGTAAAAGAAGTATGAAATAATATATGAAAGGATTTAAGAGCATTGAAGGAGAAGCATTGATGCCCTTTTTTAAGACTTGTGTTTGTATTATTGAGGATAGGGCTTTGGTTGGCCTTACCTTTACCTCAAGTTTATTTATTTATTTTATTTATTTATTTATTATTATTATTATTATTATAAGTAGAAAAATCCATTATCAAATATTTTTTATTAGTCCTAATAAGCTCATATTAGTTTATTTTTTAAAATTATTTTTTATAAGATAACATTAGTCAAATAAATTATATTCCCAAATTAAAAATATTAAATTATAACACGAATCATAATTGAAATTTTTATCTAACAACATATAATTGTAGTTGTTGCTTATGTTAGAATTATATTGGTAAGTTGGAAAAGGAGTTAGGTACGTCAAAAAAACATTCAATTTCTTAGACCCACTCGGTTATATCTATTTGGTTCGTTGATGTATTATATTTAAAAAATTGATAGATGGTTGATATTTTAATTTTTTATCTATTTTGTCAGTTTAATATTTAGGTAACACCGACTACATTATTTTAATAAGTGGTGACATAAGAACCTATGAAGCACCAGTAGAATCTATTTAAAGTCTAGCCCATACCGCCTAAAAGCTCAAGGAAGCTTATAATTCAATACTCCTTAAGTGGACAATTGAAAACTACATTAATGAATCATGTGTCTCACGTAACTCAGCGATATTATAAAACTTGTTAGAAAAAGTGGTGTGGCAGATTTAGAGATGTACACGAGGCAAGGATGGGAAAGGTGTCACTACTCTGTCAATGCTCATTCCTATGAAATGCTTCATATATTTTTACGATGATTCGAGGAAAAGATTGTCCGAGGATCGAGATAGAGTGTGTTAGATGGGAAGGGAGAGATTTGTAGAGAGAATGTTCTAGGACCAATTTCAATCTAAAACTCATTTTTATTAAAGTGAGTATCAGAAATGTGTCACTAAAGAATCTTGTTAATACGAATTCCTTCACATAAGAAACTCACCAGCATTACACACATGATTTCTTCCATAACATGATAAAGAGTTCTTACCATCCAACTGAAGAAGAAACCTGCATACAAGCTTGTTCTTTCCCAGGAAAAAGATGTTTGATTCAACGCAACCTGCAACAAGTTACAATCTTAGGGACACAAAATGTCAATCTTGTTAGGGGCAGTTGGAAGTATCATCAAAGATCAAAAAGCTAGATTTGTATTTAATGGGTGTGGGGTAAACAAAAGACTCCGCCTCCTAAGCGGTGATAGGGATCTATCTCTTTAGGTAAAAATGTTCGATGGAATGACGGATCACTTATAACAAGTGGAGTACGGAGATTTGAATCCCCAATCTTAAGAGAGGTAGTACATGTCAATTACAATCGTACTATGTTCATTTTGAAAAGATCCTTTTTTTAACTACTTGAAAAATCATTCCAAACAGGCCTTGCCTTAAAATTAGAACGATCCGATTTTGAAAATGCATAAACACGAAAGTTAACCTTTGAATTCTGTGCAATCTTCGATCATCGATGCTTGAAAGCATTTTATTCAGATGGAAACAATCCCATGACAACAGCAACAACAATCCACAATTCTAAGAATTATGAATCACGTTTGGTACTAATTTAATGGTACTATAAGATCTAATCTCAAATCTGGATGCCTACATCTATTATACCATCTATGTGATATGATCTTAGCCAATTCAAGTTCCAAAAATTATTGTTGGAGTAATACATTTCTAAAATAAGCTGGTCGATTTTAAAATGTGTTGGTTTTCTCAAAACAAACAGCCTTTCCAGGAGCAAACACATAATAAAGATAGTCATACGTACTATTAATGTGATTCTTCCTTAGACCACTGTAGATGTGAAGAAACTGATTCTTCCATGTTCCATCATTTCCCAATGCACTTTACGAACTCACAGTCTAATAAAAAGAACTATACGCGTAAGTATTTTCATCAAATGATAAGAATTAAATCATACAAAGGGGTATAAGTTCCAAATGCAGACAACCAAATTTAAGTATTTCCATAGCAAAAGTGAGAAGACCCAACATAATAACAAGAATATATATTTCACAATCTTACTAAACTTTCCTACATGTATATCTTCTACCCTACCACATCAAGCGCGTTAAAAAAAACGAAGCAGTAAAAAAATTAGACAGGAGACAGAGAAATTCTGTCAATATTAAGGAGGCTCATTAAGAATAGATGCTTGGAAATGGAGAATGGAATGAATCAACGCATGAAACAAAAGCACTATAAATATTAGGTTCTAATGAATGGAGTATTGGACCTTTAAAATGAGCCGCCTGGATCTTCTAGGCAGCCCCCGTTTTTTAGTTACATTTCTTACAACTCTTCTATCTGGTTCACTATAACAACGTCTTGTTTCATTTTTAGGGAGTTTCTTCCTCTTATGTGCTCCATTAGACTCGAGAATATGAGATACAGGCAACAGCTTCTCCAAAGATTCAGGAAATTGAGAGTATCTGAAAAAAAAAATGGAATGATGACATCAAACCACAAGTTAAAATAGTTAAAAGGCCTTGCATTAGAAAAATGTTTACTCTGAAATCTCCATTGTAGCACTTAAGTTGTTCCTCTCCTGCAAGCAAAGATATCATATCACAATCCATAGAGTGATTGAAGCGAGAAAAACAACTGTAATTTCTTCGTTTTTTTATGGTAGGAAAAAAATAGGTATCAAGATTTTCATTGCAAAAATGCTCATTATCCATATACGTGAAACATCCATCAAACAAGAATAATGTACAAAAAGGAAGATAGAAAATAATAAGAATCATCCCAAATAAAAAGGTCAAAGGAGTTCATAGAATGCCTAGCCAACTGGCTATTATCAAGGAATTAATAATAAAAGAATTCTAACCCAAAACTCCATCTAGAAGCTAAAAGCAAACCAACTCCCATGCTTCATCCATATCTATAATCATACACAATTTTATTGTTTTTTAATTAAAAAAAAAACAGCGTATTAGATACCCTTGTTAGGAATCACGGATCTCCACAATGATATGATATTATCCACTTTGAGCATAAGCTCTCGTGGCTTTTCTTTTTCTTTTTCTTTCCCCAAATGGCCTTATACCAATGAAGATATATTTCTTACTTATAAACTCATGATTAACCCCTTAATTAGCCGACGTGTGACTCCTCCCCCAACAACCCCCTAAAAAAAAAAGGAGAACAAGGTGGGGATAAGAGCCTATGGGATGATCATCAGACTGACAATTGTACGCAATTTGAAGATTTTTGAAAATTAGAAATATAGCAACCATGATATACTCCTGGATGCAGAACACAAGCAAATTGGCAACGAAACAACACCTTACCAACTTCTCTGTACTTGTTTGCAAGCTGTAATCAGAAACGTCTGTAGGGCATTGTTCAATATCGGATGATTCCATGTCCATAGAACCAGCGGCTAAGCTTCCTGGATTATCCACAGAGAGATTTAAAATACGGCAGCTATTCTGTAGTGTTGAAGTTTCACAAATTTCACTTATAAGATTTTGATGGTCTGATGTGGAAAGACTAGATGGACCACCAGAACCTGGATCAGAAATTTCTGTTTTTCGTAAAGCATTGTTCATATCATTATCAAGATTCATTTCACGATTATCCTCTTCAGTACAAATTTCAGACCCAGCAAGTTTCTGGTTCTGCACATCAAAATAAGTTTCAGAAGAAATGATTGTCTGATCTTCATCTATATGCTCAGATGCATCTGCATTAATGGCACGAGACGTAATTGCAGAGAAGATTACAGATCCATTAGCTTCATCTAGTTGGTCAGTCACCATGCAGTTATCTGTCATCAGGTTCGAACTGGATGGAGCCTCTTTCTGTAAATAGTCATCCTTCAACAGGCCAGGATGATTGTTCCACTGAAAAGACTTGGCAAATTCTTTATGACCTTTAAACCAACAGAGATTCTGTTGCAGACATTTGTCTCTGTAGATGCTCTCACAGATGTAAACCTCATTTTTTAATCTTTCGGTCCAGTCCAAAGGGCTAGAATTTAAATCCACGAACAGATTAATCCCCTCATCAGACCAGACATAGAATTCAATAGCAGATGGAAAGACTTCTGGAGAAGTTTTAGGAGAACCAGCAGAAGCATTTGCATTGTCAGCAAGACAAGTATCATTCTCTACACATCTACTTTGGATCTCAGGTATGTTTCCCGTCATATCACCTGAAACCAATAGTTCTAGTCAGGGCTTACTCTTTGGATCACTTTTTGACTAGCAGTGTTAATGATTTCCCATAATTTATTACACTGCCAAAGCCATTCTAGTACGGACATAGTTCAAATATTACATTGCAAAATAAATGCTAAATCTTTAAATACTTCTTCACAAACTGCTAAATCTTTAAATACTTCTTCACAAACGCAGGAAATAATTCATTGACAAACAATTTTCACATCTATAAACTGATTTGACCACCCATTCTGTTTTTCAATTGGCCTCCTGAAGAGGAAGAGTTTGAACAAGAAAAAGATCTTCATCCATTACTTTATACAGCAAGAAGAACTATCAGGATACAAAACATGCAAAACAATAGATGACAAGACCGAAAGACCAATACACCAGAGAAGAATTGAAGCTTAAGCTACTCGCTTTGCTCCAAACTGTGCAATGAAAATTGATTCCTGCTATATTTTTCCATTGGCAAGCAAATCTTAGGAGGTGGATGAATCACAAAGAAACTTGAGGAAAAAAAATTTGAAAGATACATTTGGATTTATAGGTACTGGATTCATAATATATTTATAAAATACTAAAAAGTAAACCACAAATCATACTTTTCACAGTCAATGTATTCGCATTGTTACACATAGACATTAAACTTTTGATTTCGTCAATTGAGCCGAGCCACAAAAATTTTAGCAATACCACAGTATTGACCCTTTATATAATGCAGTTAATTTTTTCATAGAAAACTAATCGAATTAATGCATATGAAAATTTTCTTTTTGTACCCCACCAGATGCCCTCTTTACATAAAATTACAACCCCGACATGATTAGATTTCTTCTTTATTCTAAAATTTCAAATTCTTGAAAAAAAATCTTGGGATGTCATTGTAGTCTATATCGTTAGCATCTTCTAGGATTTCTTTAGAGGTGCAGATACTTCCTGAAGGAGAACTTTACATGTCTTCCGAAGAAAGTAACAGATGGCAGGGCAGATTTCCACCTAATTAGTTTGGTTATCAATGCTTGTAGATTCCTTTCCAAATGCAAATCTAAAACTAGATTCTCGGTTCTCATGACGGTAAACCAAGAGGTAAAATTGAAGTAAAAGAATGTCTTGGATATGAAACTTTTCTTTTCCTATTCCTCGTTATGATTATTGCAGATTTTCTAAGAAGGTTGTTTCAGAAAAAGCTCTCAAAGGCTCTGTAATGAAACAAAGCTGCGGAAGAATTCGATTCAGCACAACCATCACTAGTGGCTAATGATTTTTTTTTCTTTTTTTTTCTTCTTATTTTTATGAAAAACCCAACTTTCATTTAAGAGAAAATGAAAGAATATAAGGGCATACACAAAGTAAACCCCACAAAAGGAGCTACTTTACAGAAAGGGACTCTCAAGCAAAATAAGACTTAATAATTATATAAAGATTTCTTCACCAATACCCAAAGAGAAACATGGAATCTCACAAGGGACCAAACATCAAACGACTCCCTATCAGACCCTGAAAATTTTATTATTTCTCCCTCCCAAAGACCCCATAACAAACCACACATCCCAGCTTGCCATAAAATCTTCCCTTCTCCCGAAACGACAGATGGAAGATAAACTTCACGATCATATTATTAAAAAATCTATTGGGCAAATTGAAGGCAGAACACGCTTAAGTAATTTCAGATCAACTACGCATAATCACTACTCCAAAATAAAGGATAAAAAATTCTTCTTATTATAAAAGAAAAGAAGAGAAACAAAAGCCTTCAAAATCCTGGAAATTCTGTAAAAGGTAGCTTGTATGAGAATATCAACAAGATAATCTATGATTTGTGAGCGTCAATACTGATAAACTGGAGGTTCTTCCAGGAAGATCATTTTGGGGCTGTAGTCTGAGAAGGGATCTTTATCCTACGTGGTATATACACTTCGACCCTTCAAATTTCACTTTTTTACATCCAATAGTGGAAAGAATCAAGAACAGATTAGAGAAATGTATGCATGGAAACTTTCCCAAAGGAAGTAGAGTAATCTTAAAACAACCTTAACTTGCTAGCTTGCTAGCTTGCCAAGTGTCATAGTCGTATTTTTCAAACCGTGCAGCATGCTCCTGTCAGCAACGTGGGACTTACAACCTACACTCCTCTTAATGTGCTCCTCTAAGCCTTTTTTCAAAAAACCAAGCAATGCAAGTGGCACAGAGGTTTCAATTAGGCAGGGGACTTAAGTATAGAGAACCTAGAATAAGACATGTTGCCATGGCTTCCAAGTCAGTTTGGAGGTTTGCACAAAAAGAAGATTTCATGGGCAATCATTTCTATCTAACAAACTTGGAAAGGATAAGGAGGCTCGTTCACAGGAGACAACGAAAACCTTGAAAGAACACAGCTCTTGGAACTTTCTGAAACACTATAAAGCCAAAGCAGCTCCTCCCCTTTTATTTAACTTATGCAATGGTGACATAATCAGTTCCTTAGGAAACAGGAAACAGCTCAAGTTCTAACTTCTAAGTAAGCTCACCACACAAAGTTCTAAACTGCAGGTTACTGAATTCTTTATCATTCAACAAGCCAAAACGATCAAAATCTTAGGTAAATTCCTACAAGTAAAACCAACCTCAGTTCTAACCTCATCAAACAACACATGAATATGCATCTGCAGGGAAGCTCAACAAAGCTACACGAAGTTAGTTAAGGACCTGAGGTATGAATTCAGGGAAGTTAGGGATAGTCAGTACCTTCAGCCAATCAAATAGACAGACATATGAACAATCTAAACTCCGGTCAGCTCAGAAAAGAAAACATAACACGACAACTTCCCCAAATCGAAAGTCAACCCACTTCCACTTCTAGTCACCGAGCCATGGTGAACAAAACCAATTCCGTAAAGCAAATTAAACTCGTTATGTCTCCAACTCCAGAACGTCGGAAGTTCCCATTGTGTTTCACAATCACGAATCTGTTTGGCTACCGAGAAAATCGAGATAATGACAAAATTTTGAAATATAATGAACATATTGGCTTCTGAGTCAAAACAAAATCTAGATTCCATTGACACAAGTAGTACAAATCTCTGGTAATTACACGCATTAAGTAAAGAAACTGAGAAATTACAAAGAAAATTTACGGTACCTGAATAGAAATTGTCCAAGAAAGCAAGCAGATAGTAACGATTTGTTCGAACTTTTACTTAGCGAAGAGTCGATTAAGGAAACTGCTTTCGAGAATAAGATCTTAATTCTCAAACAGTCAAGGCTTCTACTTCTATTTTTATTTTTTATTTTTTATTTTTTATTTTGTAATTCAATAAAGTTCTAAATTTTTTCAATTTCGTACTTAATAAATTTTTGACTAGTTTAACTTAAATTCAAACATGCTAAATAAAAAAAAAATAAAAAAAATTAAAAAGCTATAAAGTTCATTGAAATGTAAAATTCAAATTTCTATTAATTTAAAAAAAATTAATATATTAGGTGTTAGGTGTTATAGGTCGAGGTAAACCCATCTCCTCACGTGACATACTAAGCCCATGCCTCCTCCACTTGACTTACTTCCATGGTCATAGGTTACTCTATCTCGAATCCTATCATTTTAGGTCACCTCATTTGAGTCATCTCTTGTCGATCGCCTTATCCTAATTACTTCGTTCTGGGTCACCCCATCTTTTGAATAAACATGTTCATCGTTGAAGTACGATCAAATCATATGAAACTTTCTTCCCTCAAATTTTGCGTCAACGTTGGAGACTTATTGTCCACATTAAATGTCATTGGTATAGTTATTTTATTGACGTTTTTGTTTAAATGGTATATTAATTTGACTGGGAATTTGTCAACTTGAACATAACTTCATGAATAAAACATTAGTTACTGTCTCAAATGATTCTTTGGTTTCTACCTGCATAATTGTTGAGCTCAAACAAGACCGTTTTTTTCTTTAGTTTAATGATTACAATGGTGAATGATTAAACGGTCGACTTTAGAATTGTACGTTATGTTTTATACATCAAGCTAGTTTTGTATTAGCATCGTTAAAACAAAGTTTATTATAATTAAGTTACAAGAACCAAGACTGTTGGAATCGAGGAAACCAAAATCAAGCTAAGTGGACTCAAAATGAAGACTTTTTGACTTAAAAAATCACTAATTTGTGTTTTATCCAGGCATGTCTAATTCTACGTACTTATTATTGATTAATAAATCTAATTTTGAAGATAAGTGATTTATAAGACCGCAGAAACCATTGAATTTGAGGTCAATTTAAAAGAGTGAGGCTCTCGAAGGCTTGGTTAGGCTCACTTGAAAACTAAAAAAATAGGGCTCGTTTTTATAGTCATTTGACTGTCCACCTTCTATTAATATTTCAAAAATTAATATTATTTTTTAAATTTGACCAAAAATTCATGTATTTATTTAAGAAGAGTGGAAATGAAACATAGAATAAATTTAAAAAATAAAAAATGAAAATAGTTATCATAATTTTAGTTTTTAGTTTTTTATTTTTAGAAAATAAGCTTATAGATATTAGGATAAATTATAAATTAATCATAAAAATATTTTCGTACTAATTTAAACATTTTTTAAAAAGAAAAATAAAAATCATAGTAATAAAAAAATAAAATAATTATGGAGGAGATTCTATTTTTATAATATTTATTATATAGTGAAAATAATGACATGTGGATCTTTAATATTTGGAGGCGAAATGTGGGCTGTGATTGAGGAATCAAATGAGTCAGCAAAAACCTCCAGCTCATCACCTTCTGGATTATCAACTTTAAAAAAAAAAAAAAAAAAAAAAAAAAAAAAGAAATCTAGTGGTCACCTAGCTGTCACTTTAGAATCTGACAGCAGTTGTTATTCTCTCTATTTCCCTCTTCTTTGGAATACATTATCGGTTACCCAATTATTGTGCATAAAACTAAGCCTACATATCCCATTTGCTTTTTCGGAGACATGTTAGAAAGAGCCCGAGCCACTTTCGACTCATTATAACAATAATATTTCCTTTCAGTGTTTATTATATGTATGGTTTCTATAACTTTAGATCTATTTATACTCGTTTGAGTTTTTGTTCTCAAATTTTAATCGTGTTAGCTTATAAACACGGAATAATTATCGAGTTGAGTAAGTTGCTTTAGATTTTTAAAAATTTTAATCTTAAATTTAGTCCTTTTAAATTAATTTTTATATAACTAATTTTATGATTAAAAAAAATATATATATTAAATTAAAATTGGGACACTTTTATAAAGTATTGCCTTGCAAGGCACCAGCTATTTCCCACATAATTTATATCCAAAATTAAATTATTATTATATATAATTAAAATTTTAATGCCGTATTTAGTATGGCCGGTCGTGACTTTTAAAGTAGTCAACTATTTCTTTTAACACTCGGCCAATAAGACTGACAAATTTAAGTTTTACATTCCGTCCTCAAACTTTCCTTTATTTAATTTTTAGTCCTTCGCTTTTGAATTATTTTGAAACCTAATATACAGCCTCTTGTTTTTTAAATTTGTTTAGGGACTCGAACCCAAATATTTTTAAGTTTAAAAATTATATTTTTAGTCCTTCACATTTGGGTTAGGTTACATTCGAGTCCTAAATTTTCATTTATTGCTAATGAGACATTTGTTGAATAATAAAAAAATATATTATTTTTTATTTTGATTATATATATATATATATATATCATTCATATATTTAAAAGTTTTATTTTTTATTATTAAGTAATTGAATAAATATTTTTTTACCATATAAAAGTAAATAAATAATGCCGTGACTTCCACTTCGTGAGTGGCATGTTTTTTTCTAAGAAAAATAGTGAGTTGCATGTTGTTAATATATATATATATATATATATATATATATATATATATATATAATAATACATTAAGATGGTAACATTGATAAATTTTAATTCAATAATTATAAAATAAAATGTCGGACCCTTGAAAGAAAGCAACGGCAATTTTGGAAGATAGCCGTTAACTGATGTAGTTGAAATAGAGACACGTGTCAGCACCCCATTAATCTAAGTATTCTGGGCGTCCACGGCATAAAAATCTCCTCATATACGGGTCCAATTTTTTTTTGTCCCTCCAACGGTCCTCTTCTCTTTACACCCACTCCCCTTAACGGTACGATTTTTTTTTCGTCAACGTCCAATTAAATAATTTAAAATGTATACATTGTAATTAATGTTTTATGGGTTTTAATTTATTTAAAATGGTAAATTATTTATTTATTAGTTTAAATTCTTTTGTGTTTTTTCATACTAATTTATATCATTTAGCGGGAAAATTATTAAAATTTAGAGATTTAATTTATTCAGAGTTTTTTCGACTAAAATAACTTTTATTAAATATATATTTATTTTTTTTCAAAGTTATATTAAGATTTCTCATTCCATTTTAATATATATTTTAAGTTTACTTCATAATTATGAAATTAAATAAAAACAAAACAAATTTAAATTTAGTTTTAGGAAATTCACGAACTAATTTAATTAATTCATAATCTAACTTAAAAGGTAGAGATCGAGTTGGATTTGTCAAATTTTTTATGAATACAATATTAAAATAATAGATAGTATACGTTGACTTCATGTATATAAAAACGAATGGCGTATGACAAAAAATTAAATATGTTTTTATTACATTTAAATATTGCTATTTGGTTCCATAAAATATTCACAAAAACAACTATGAAATAAAAATTATTATAAAAAAAAAACCATATTTATTAACGTTTGAAGCAAAGAATATTCTCCAAGTTAGAAAGATGAAATAACGTGTAGAATAATAGAACAAGTGTTTCCACAATAAAAATACAATATTATTAATGAATATTGTTTTACACTCTAAAAACATTTTAAAAAAAATTAAAGTCGGTTTATAGATTGTCATTTTTTTTTTTTTTGTTGGGTTAACTCGACCAATTAAAAAATAGAGTTACGGTTCAATTCTACCCTACTATAAAAATTAAAGATATTTGACGTTTCTAACTAATGTTAATAATGTATCGTTGAGTTTTATGAGATTTTAGTAAGATTACAATCGATAAATATGATTTTAAAAAAATAAAAAAATAAAAAAATTGAAGATTGAGTTATGAACTCTATTTGAGTTGCTCTGAAATTTCTGCTACATCCGAAAGCTTTTTCAAACTCTCCCAACTGGACCGTGTACTCCAATTCAAATTTAATTATGAAAAATTGGTACCAACAAATAAAAATACCAAAAAGTTTTAGTTTTTAAATTCATAAAATAATTTGTGAATTTTCTTTAGATAAAGAAGAATTATATTATATTTAGAAGGAAAAAATGAATTAAAAATTTAATTAGTAGGCAAAATTCACCCACCAAACCACAAGAATGGATGGTTACGCGTTTTTATTTTGTGTTATTTTATTTTATTTTCAAAAAAAAGCGAAAAAGAAATATAAAAAAAATTAATTTTCGTTAAAAATAAAAATAAAAATAAAAATAAAAAAGTGACCCAAAAAACGCGTGAACCATTTGCGAGCCCTTCAAAAAGGGGTCGGCCATGGAAACCGTTGGTTCATCTTCTTCATTTGTCTCTCTGTGTCTAGAAGTTTGTTTGAAACCCTATTTTCTCTCCCAAATTTTGTGGGGAACCAAACAAGCTTCCACCACAAGCCAGCCATTTTTCGCTCACGATTTCTCCCTTTTTTACCATCTCCATTTCCACATTGATTCCTCCTCTCTCTCTCTCTGTTTGGCTTCCCTCCATTTCCACTAATTTTTCTTCCTCTTCTCCTCTGTTACGGTTTAATCTCCTCTTGCCGTCGCCGGAGCCGACCGAGATCTCATCTACAGACCATCACTAACTAATGGATCCGACGGAACTGAAAAGAGTGTTCCAGATGTTCGATCGCAACGGCGACGGACGGATCACTCAGAAGGAATTAAGCGATTCGTTGGAGAATTTGGGGATTTTCATCCCTGATAAAGATCTGACTCAAATGATCGAGAAAATCGACGTCAATGGCGACGGATGCGTAGATATCGACGAGTTCGGTGAACTGTACCAATCGATTATGGACGAGAAAGACGAGGAAGAGGACATGAGAGAAGCCTTCAACGTCTTCGACCAGAACGGCGACGGATTCATCACCGTCGACGAATTGAGGTCGGTTCTTGCTTCCTTGGGGCTTAAGCAAGGGAGAACTGTAGAGGATTGCAAGAAAATGATCATGAAGGTGGATGTGGACGGAGATGGAATGGTGAATTACAAGGAGTTTAAGCAAATGATGAAGGGAGGTGGATTTAGTGCCTTAGGTTGATGATATCTTTCTCACTTAATCACACACGTTCAATGAAAAATTAACTCTAAAAAAAAATACCAGAGGATGAGAGAGAGAGAGAGAGAGAGAGAGAGAGAGAGGGTGTTTTTCCCATTAGAGTCTGTATATAAAAACCTTGAAGATGACGATGAAGAAGAAGATGGAGGAAGAAGAAGGATGTGATCATTACACAAAGTTGCATGGAATATGTGTGCTCTCTATCCACGCATCCACATTTCATTGGTTTCTCTTTTAGCCAATTGCCCTTTGACACGTATTGAGAATATATTAAATACGTGAATGTGTTTTCAGTTTTTTTTTTATTCCATGTAATTTTAAAATTAACTGTCGGGTCGGGTCGGCGCACCAACAGAATATTACTATGTTTTTTTGCCTTCTTTAATTAATTTGCAACTAAGAATGTTTTTGTGCTCTCCTTTTTCTCTTGATTTTTTTTTTATAATTTCCTCCATATATTATTTTTTATTATTTTATAATTTTAACTTTTTTGACTATGCATGCTTCATACCAATTGGGCCATTAGCACAATTATGCTGGTTCATAATTATATAATATTGTCTACTTTTAGCATAAACTCTTTGAATTTTTCAAAAGGTTTCAGACCAATGAAAATAGTATTTATTGATTATAAACTTATGATCATTTCTTAAATTAGTCAATATGGAACTTTCATCGGAACACCTCCCCTCGAACTAATCGACCAAATATTTAGTGGAATGCTCTCTCTAGCTTGAGCGAACCTTTTTGAATCTGATTAAGAATGGATGCCCGACTGAATCTAGTCCGACCCTATTTCTCATGTCCCTTCGCCAATGAGAGCTCTCTATGTTTTTTTTTTTTTTTTTTGGTTTATTATTATTATTTGTTCTCTTTCCAAACTAAAATAAGATTAAAAAAATTACAAATTTATAAATTAGATTTGTTTTTATCAAAAATTTAAAATATTTTTTTTACTATATACATATATTTATTATATTTTATAACCATTTTTATTATTCATTTTTCAACCCTTCACAAATTTTTTTTAATTTATTTGAAATGTAATTTAAATTATTGAAAATAAATAAATAATTTTCAAAATAAATTTTATTTAATTAAAAAAAAGATAAATGATAGGAATTGCTTCAATTCATTTATTTATTACCTTCCAAATCCAACTTAAAAAATGTCTCGACCCGAGATGAGATGGATGGGTTCGGTTCGGTTTTTATCAAGAACGGCCCAATGCCGAGTGGCAAGAACGGCGGGGAAGTCAGGCCCAGCCCAATGCCGAGGGGATGTAGTCAATGCCATTTTTTCATTCTCTTAAAAATGTTATTTTCGAAAGATCAATCCATCCCTGTCCTGCCGTGTGCTCAACCCTCAAAGCTTCTCGCATTTCATCACTGTCCGCAGCCGGGTGTTCATCCAATCGCAGAAACCGATCCATTGTAAGTTTATTGCAGCTCTTTTATCACACTCACATGCTTCTTATTCAGTGGGTTTGAAGTATGTTGAACATCTTGGTTATCTATTCAATGTTCATTGTTCTGTTCATTTCAATTTTCTTAATTTGAAAACCACTACAAATTCATATTATGTCTGTGTTTCGTTTGAAATTCCTATTATTTTCTTTGTGTTGCTGGGAAAGTTATCAAATCTGAATGATAATTTTCATTTTTCGATAGAAATCCTGGATGGGGTGGGTTTGTATGGCTTGATGATTTGTGTTTCCTTGTTTATTTTGTAGAATTTGTGGGAAAATTTGGCAACAAAACTCAACCCAATTCAAATTTCATAGGGTTGACTTTGGATTCCTTTTCGTGTTTTGCTTTGTGACATCCCATATCGGTTGGAGAGGAGAATGAAACATTGTTTATAAGGGTGTGGAAACCTCTCCTACCGGATGCTTTTTAAAACCTTGAGGAAAAGCCCGGAAGGGAAATCCCAAAGAGGACAATATCTGCTAGCGGTGGACTTGGGCTATTACAAATGGTATAGAGCTAGACACCGGGCGGTATGCCAGTGAGAACGCTGGACCCCCAGGGGGTGAATTGTGAGATCCCACATTAGTTGAAGAGAAGAATGAAACATTGCTTATAAGGGTGTGGAAACCTCTCCCCCTACCAAACGCGTTTTGAAACCTTGAGAGAACATCCGAAAGGGAAAGTCCAAAAAGGATAACATCTGCCAGTGGTGGGCTTGGGTTGTTACACGCTCATTCTTGCATGATAGGTGTTAGAACTTCTCCCAATGCCTACTTAATCACTAGTTTGTTTATTGTATTTCTTTGTTTATAACGAACTTTTTACCACGATTTTCTTGCAGAAGTTGAAAACCCGAAAGCATGGCTGGTCCTAAGCCTGGTAGCTCTGCCACTAAACCAAAAGCTGGTAAATGATGTTCCTTTAATACAGCAGTTGTTTGTGCAATTGTGTCCTATTCCCTTGTTTGGCTTGTGTTTACTTGTTCTTTGTTGTTCACTGGGCAGGCGGGAAAAAGGAGGTGAAGAAAGAGACTGGGTTGGGTCTCACCAATAAGAAGGACGACAACTTCGGAGAATGGTATTCCGAGGTGCTGTTTTGTGCACGGTTTTTGTTTTCTTCATTGCAAAATGACTCTTTATGTTTGGTAAAAATTATACGTATGAGTTTGAGAATGTTGTTTGACAGTCGTCGTAGTGAAGGTAGATCGTGTAATTTCATTCGAAGGCTGTCAACGAACATGTCTCAACCCATGTGTGAAATTATTCGTATGAGTCGACCTTTACTTCTCGATGAAGGAGCAAACAAAAAGGAAAAAAAAAGATTATAAGATGTCTTTTTCGAGGGATCTCCCCTGTAATATTATGAACACGTTCTTTTCGATGACTTGAATAATTCTTTTTCTAGTTTGTCTAGGTCGTTGTCAGTGGGGAAATGATCGAGTATTATGATATCTCGGGCTGCTATATACTGAGGCCGTGGGCGATGTCTATCTGGGAGACTATGCAAGTAAGGATGCTAGTCTTTCTATCGTCGATTTTACGATCTGTTCTTGTTTCGAAGTTCAAAGATTTAATTTGTCATCGGTGCAGGTATTTTTTGATGCTGAAATTAAGAAAATGAAAATCAAGAATTGCTATTTTCCACTTTTTGTATCTCCCGGCGTCTTACAAAGAGAGAAAGATCATATAGAAGGTTTTGCTCCTGAGGTGATGTTTTATTATTCATTTATGCAACGGTAGAGAAACTTCTCCATCTGAATTTTAACTTCGCAATAACTCGGGATTTAATCTCATAGCGATGATAAATGTTTCGCTTGTAAATTTAATGGGCTGCATTGCATCTTGGTACTTTCAACTTCATGATTGTATTCCAGGCTGAGCACGACATCCTTATGCACCCATTCCACATGTTAGGTGTAGCTGGTGTATTCGGCCCTCCCTATTCAGTGCTATGCATGGTTTCTTGCTAACTTTTAGTTTGATTAGGGAAACCACAGAAAATGAATCTGCTAATGAAGGTTATAGATTCAGTCAAGAGGAAGAAACTTATAATTTCGTTGCTGCTCAGGGTTATTTTTGCCAATTGGTCTTCCAATATGCTAGTTTCAACAACTCTCGTTCTTTACATTTCTTCCATTTTGTTTTTTAAAATTGATTAGAAATGGGTATTTCATTTTTAATGAAGTTTAAATGCATATTACCTTTGTTATGGGTGTAATACCAGTCAAGTGATGGTATGGTTGTCATGGTCATTGGGTTATGATTTACGAATATCATCTCGATCTTCATGATGTTTCGTTTATGTCGAGTGTCTCTGAGTGAATTGGTTTTATGTCCTCAGTTTGTTCTTCTAGCCTCTAACCTGTTTCTTGTCAGCATAGTTTTGGCTCGAGTGATGAACTTTTATTGCCTCCTAGTAAAAAACATTCTTGAAAAGATTTTAGACATCCTCCCTCCTCCCATTTTGTAATAGCCCAAGCCCACTGCTGGTAGATATTGTTTGCTTTGGCCCGTTACGTATCGCCGTCAGCTCACGGTTTTAAAACACGTATGCTAGGGAGAGGTTTCTACACCCTTACAAGGAATATATCGTTCCCTTCTCCAACCAACGTGGGATCTCATACCCTTTTACCAGTTTAGTAAGAATTTATTCGATGATGAGTAATCTTTCTTAGAATTTTATGTTTGTTTCTAAGAAGTCGTTCCATTCGTTATGTTCGGTTCATTCATTTTTAATTTTTAAGTTTATAAAGGTGGAATTGTGGTTTAGTGCTGACCATTTGGTACTTGGCATCCATTTGAAGGTTGCTTGGGTAACAAAATCTGGGGAGTCTGACTTGGAAGTGCCCATTGCGATTCGTCCTACAAGTGAGACTGTTATGTACCCGTACTATTCGAAGTGGATCAGGGGTCACCGTGACTTGCCTTTGAAACTTAACCAGTGGTGCAATGTTGTGAGATGGGAATTCAGCCATCCCACACCATTTATTAGGCAATTACTCGTGCTTGTGCTTAAGTTTAAATTACTGTATTGTTTTGAAAGCAAAGACTAATTTTCTTTAACTATCGACTGCAGGAGTCGAGAGTTCCTTTGGCAGGAAGGTCATACTGCGTTTGCCACTAAGGATGAAGCAGATGCGGAGGTATAAAACTCTAGAATTTTAAATTATGATTTAGAAACGTTTTTATCTCGAGCAAATTTGAAGATTCAATGTGAGATCCCACATTGGTTGGAGAGGGGAACGAAACATTCTTTATAAGGGTGTCGAAACCTCTCCCTAGCTAGCAGACACGTTTTAAAATTCTTGTGGGAAAACTCGGAAGAGAGAGCCCAAAGAGGATGACAATATCTGCTAGCGGTGGGCTTGGGCTATTACGAATGGTATAAGAGTCAGACACAGGGTGGTGTGCTAGCAAGGACACTAAGCCCTGAAGGAGGGTGGACAACGGGCAGTGTGCCAGTGAGGACATTGGGCTTCGAAGGGGGGTGGACACCGGGCGGTGTGCCAGCAAGGATGCTGGATCCTGAAGGGGGTGGATTATGAGGTCCCACATCGATTGGAGAGCGGAACAAGTGCCAGCGAAGACGCTGGGCCCTGAAGGGGGTGGATTGTGGGATTCCATATCGGTTGGAGAGGGAAACAAAGCATTATGTATATCGGTTGGAGAGGGAAAAAAAGTCTTTTTTATAAGAGTGTGGAAACTTCTCCCTAGCAGACGCGTTTTAAAAACCTTGAGGGAAAACCGAAAGAGGACAATATCTGCTAGGTGTGGGCTTGGACTGTTACTTTCAAATATGCGAACTCAACTCACTTCGATTGGAACCACAAAGAATGAGTGGGGTCTAAATTGGGAGCACCAAGTTCTTCAAGTGATCATCCTTGAGTGCTTTGAACCCAAGGATGAGTTTAAAGGGAGAATTCCAAAACATCCTTCAATCGAACCCT